CTCGGCGTCGACATATCAAGTGACGTGCAGTTTCGTAGTCACTTGGAAGAGAATGCCAAATTGGCCTCTAAAAAGCTTGGCGTGCTCAGCAGAGCGGGACAGTATTTCATGCCGGCACACAGTCTGCAACTTTACAAGGCGCAGGTTTGGCCGCACATGGAATACTATTCTCATCTCTGGGCAGGGGCTCCCCAGTACCAGCTCCTTCCACTTGACTGCATCAAGCGCAGAGCGTTTCGAATCGTCGACGACCGAGTGCTTTCCAATCGGCTCGATTCACTGGCACTACGAAGAGATGTTGCATGTCTTTGCATTTTCTTTCGCATATACCACGGGGATTGCTCTGAGGAATTGTTCGGATTAATCCCAGCCGCGAAATTTCGTGAACGCACTACGCGGCAAACGACCGGATACCATACACACCATCTGGATGCTTGGCGGTCCACCACTGTACGTGTTACAAGGAGTATTTTTCCGCGTACGACCTTTCTGTGGAATAGTTTACCACCGGCGATTTTTCCGGACCGATACGACGAGCTACGGACCTTCAAAACACACCTGCAATTCCCCTGGTGTTGCGGTTGATCATAGGCGGCGATAGTCACTTAACATCAGGTGAGCCGCATGCTCGTTTGTTCCCTCTTCTATAAAAAAGTGTCAATATTGGTAATTCAATTTGCAGTTTTTATTGTCACGAACCCACAGATAACCTCCTAATAGATTCCGCATACCGGGCCACAAACGCGCGCAACACATGCTTGCTGTAGCTAGCATACGAAATAACGCTAAGAATCACGATATCAGTGTCGACCAATGTCGTGACCCGTAGGCACGTCCGAGTTCTTGACAATTTAAAATAGTCTTGTATCCAAAATACATTACAAATAGCTTCCTGTGCAGTAAAATAGTGTGGCAAGTCAGCTTAGACATTCAGTTATCAAAACATTTCATCGGTAAGTAAATTCTATTCTTATCACTTTAACCTATTTCAAATGCACTGGAGTTCAACTTATACTGGTAATCTAATGGTGCAAAGTGATAACAATTAAGCACTTGTTGATGTCTGTTTAAAATGTCTCTTTCACTCATTACGTAACTTACAGTAGTTGTCTTTGTCTAACGACAGCACGCGTATCGATAGTGTTGTGATTTATAAGTAGATATTTGTTTGGTCATCATTTACATTTTATAAAGTCATTATTTTATAAACATTGTGGTGTATCATTGTGATACCTATATGTTATTGGTTTCTAAATGCCCCGAAAGGAAAAAGATGTGGATCGACCTTGTCGAGGGCACCAAGGTTTCCCACCAAAAATAGTGTGCTATGCTCATGACACTTCACAGTAGAAAATCTTCATATATAAAAACTGCAGAAGGCAGTTGGATTCCGCTATACCATCTCTATACTTGCCAGTTTTAGTATGGACTTTTACATTTTTTTTAAAGTATAGTACCAATGTAAATTACACAATAAGTGATAGTATTAAGTGGTTAATTGAAACGTGATATTCTAATATTTAGGCGAATGTTATACGTTGAAATTAAACTATTTTTAACGGATTTATAAATAGTAAAACAAGTGAAAGTTATAATGTTATTATTGTTATTCTAGTGTTACATGAACTTCAGTAATATCTTATTATTATTAAGTACATCTAAATTTGAAACACGTAACGTATGGTTTATTAATTAATAATGCTAATTTTAGGTACAGCACTTGGAAAAAATACGGTCACCACCGAGAGGACATACCAGACCACACACAGAGGATTCCCACCATTTTGTTAGTGAGATAAAAGACCCACAACTCGCTGACAATGAAACTATTGGTCAGTTTTGGTGTTGAGTCACTATTTACATGCCTACCTATTGAAGACTGCATCTCAATTGTAACTAGGAAACTAGAAAATAACAACATGCCTGCAGAATATGCAGTATTAATCAAACAATGCTTCACACAAAACAAGACTTCAAGATATTGTGAGCTCGTTCTTTATTTTTATTTATTTATTTATTTATTTGCCATTACGTTACATTACGTAACATTGGTACGTCAAAATTACAATTACAATTATATAGATACAATAATATAGTTAAAATTACAAATTATACAATTACAATAATATAATTAAGATACATCTCATTTACAGTACATTATTTTATGTGTCAAACAAGTCAAAAAATGAACATTGCATATATTCTTCTATGTTGTAAAAAGCGTGATTTAAAAAGAATGTTTTTATCACTTGTCGGAACGCATTTAGCGGAAGTCTTGTTATTTCTATTGGCAATTTATTGTACATTATAATTTTTATTGCAAAACCTTGCTTGAACACTTTGACTAATCTGGTTCTTGGAACAACTAATCTTTCGCGATTTCTAGAATTGTAGTTATGTACGTGCTTCTTCATTGGTAGTTTACTTTTTTCCTGGTGTACTTCTAGAAGCGATCTATAAATATATAACGAAACGACAGTCATAATTTTCGCTTTTTTGGAAATAGGCTCTAGCTGATGTCGATCTTTGCAATCCATGTATAATTCTAATCGACCTTTTTTGACAAATCAGTACTCTTTCAATTTGTGTAGCATTTCCCCATATCGTAATCGCGTAGCTAATAATTGAGTGACAATATGCAAAGTAGACGGATATAAGAGTTTTCTTGTCAATAATGGGCTTAAGCTTCAATAATGCGTAATTAGCACTGGCTAACTTTTTACAGACGTTATCTATATGGGTTTCATAACTTAAAGTGGAATCGAAAGTACACCCTAAAAATGTAACGTCACTTTTTGTGACTTTATTTGTTTTTTTGCTTGCATAATTAATAATGATACTTTTTTCTGCATTCAAAATTATTCCGTTTGTTTCAAACCAATTTTTAAGCATATTTAAAATATCATTTGTCTTCTTGGATACTTGGACTGCATTTTTATCTTTAACACCAACCTGTGTATCATCCGCGAATAGTGTAACCATCGCCCAGTCAGGTAAATTATTTGCAAGGTCGTTCACATACACTAAAAACAGCAATGGTCCCAGGATAGAGCCCTGCGGAACGCCAATGTAACTATGTTGTGAATCAGAGTTAGTATTATTTAAATTAACTATTTGCGTTCGATTGTTAAGATAAGACTGCATTATTTTCAATTCTTTTCCTTCAAATCCGTAGAATTTTAATTTATAAATTAAGATATCATGCCTCAGACAATCGAACGCCTTAGATAAATCGCAAAAAATGCTAGATACCTTCTGCGATCCATCCAACGCGTCCAATATAAAGTATACTGTTTTTCTAATAGCCATTTCCGTTGATCTTTTTTTGCGAAAACCGAATTGACAGTCTGTAAATAGATTATTTTTTTCAAAGTAGTCTAATATCCTAGATTTTAAGACAGTTTCTAAAATCTTTGATATAACTGGTAATATACACACCGGTCTGTAATTACCAATTTCAATAGTTTGTCCTTTTTTGAACTGTGGCACAATTTTTCCTATTTTTAAGCTATCTGGGAAAATTCCTTCTATGATGCAATCATTCAAGACTTCCAATATTATATAAAACATGTCTTTGTTGTGGATGATAAGTTCTCTAATAGTTTTTGTTGACATATCGTATATGTCTCTAGACGTTTTACATTTTAAACTATGAATAATATTCCAAAATTCAGAATTATTTATTTTATGAAAGCGAATTTTATTATTTGTTGGGTTTTTTAAATATTTGCTACATTTTTCAACCTTAACCTCTAAATTTTCCGTAAGTTTACCAGCTATATTGCAAAAGAACTCATTGAAACTGTTTGCTATATTTTTATTATTTGTAATTATGTCCCCATAGTGATTTTTAATTTTAGTAATTTTATTTATTCTTTGTGTTTTAACATGATTTTTTTGTTCCTTAATAATAGTCCAAGTAGTTTTAATTTTATTCGTGGAATTTTTAATTCTAGACGCGTTCCTAAGTTTTTGGGCTGTTTGTAGTACTTTTCTATATATTCTCTTATATCTATTTAGATTGGACTTTCTAATTTTATCTGGATACAAGTTATGCAATATTTCGAGTTTTTGAAGATTATTTCTAGATATCAAAATACCCTTGGTTGTTAGTTTATTCTTATTTTTTATAGGTTTTATTATTTTTAATGGAAATGCAGTGTAATAACAATATTGTATATAGTCTATAAGAATGTTCATTTTCTCATTTGCGTCAAGTTTCAAATTTACATCCTTTCTTACACATTCAAAGTCTTTACAGAACAAGTAATGAAAATATTTTATATTTTCCTGAGATATTATTCTAGATCTAACCTCAGTCTTCTCCTTTGGTTTAGGATATTTAGAATTCAATTTATACTTTAATTCTATGACGTTATGATCTGATAACTTTACGTCTAATACTTTACCCCTGTGATACTGAAAATCATCATCGTCATTTAAAATGAAATTATCAATACATGTGGAAGACTTCCCTTTGGTTCGGGTTGGCTCATTTAAGACGAATTTACATTTTAATTCACTCAATAGTTTTAAAAATTTGGATACTTTATTATTTGGTTTCAATAGGTTTAAATTAAAATCTCCTGCAATTACAATTCTTTTGTTTTCCCTCCCTATTTTTTCGATAACTTTAGTCATAATATCTTCGAATATTAAATAATCATAATCAGGTCTATATACACAAATAATAACTAATTTAGACGATTTTACTTCAATTGCCGCTAGTTCACAATTCATTTCAATACTCAACTTTACAATGTCATGTCTTATTTTATATTCAAGTGAGTGTCTAACAAAAATAACTGTACCTCCATGTTCAAATAGCATCCTATTGTAATATGATACAAGTATAAAGCCTTCAATAGTCATTACGCCTAATTTCAATTCATTGGTCCAAGTCTCTGTTAGACAAAGCACATCACAAGTTGTATTTTCTGTTAATAATTTTAGCTCTAAATATTTATTATTAATACTCTGAATATTAGCATGCACAATCGTTAACCAGTTAATGGAGTCTTGGTTGTGTCTAAAAAATTTAGTGAACAATTTAAATTAGAATTTAATTTGATAAAGTGCAAACAAGACGAAGCATTAAAGTGACTATCTTTGATACTTTTAACAGTTTCCTCAATCACTATATTTTTTACATTTACCTTGACTTTTACATTTATTTCAAGATATCTGACATTCTCAGATACCGCAGCTAGATTAAAGAGTTCTTTATTAATAGTAAAGATTTTATCATCATTTATGTTGTCGTATATTATACTTCCTAACAAAATGTTGAATTTTCTATTTTCTTTGCTCACAATTCTTCGAATTTCATCCACATATGATGTCCCCATTTTAATGTCGTAGTTTCCTATTAGTATTACCGCTAAGTCATTTTCTTTCAAATCTTTGGTATATAAATCAAAGTGCTTCAATATTTGTTTATGATTTCCCCCTGTTTGACAGTAATTTGTTATTTTTGTATTTTCCAATTGTTGCATTAATTTGATTGCTAGTCCACTCCCTATTCTGTCCGAAAACATTTCTATTCTTGTCAGTGTTTTTGTGTTCTCTTTTCTTTTTCCGCTTTGTGCCCTGTCTCTTTCTGATGTTTCTATTTTATTTCCTTTTCCTTGCAGCTTTGAAGAGTAGTTTTCCTGCTTATGTATTATTTCTTGTTTTTTCTGGACTTTCGTTGATATTTTTAGTTTAGTAAGTGTTTCCAATTCTAATAATTTATGTTGTATTCTATTCTTCTCTATCTTTAAGTTTTTCAGTTCTTTCTGTAATTTTCGAACCCTCTTATTTTGTATTTTAATTTTTTTAAGAAGGTTTTTAGTTGCATATTTAATTTTAGGTTTTAATAGCAATTTAATTCTTTTATTCCTTTTTATTTTAATATTTTGTGAGCTCGGATTATCATCGGTTTGAGTTACTGCGTTTTTTTGAATTTTATTGAAAAGTTGTGTTTTGTTTAAACTGCCAGCTGGCTTGGGTGACATACCGCGTATTTTTTCAGGTCCTAAAGTTTGTATAGCTCTTAGTGATTTAATCACCATCTGGCAGTTTTCTAGTTCCCTTTGCAAGTCATTGTTCTGCAATATCAAATTATCTACTTCTGTATTAGCAGCTTGAAGAGTTTGTTTTAGTTGTTCAAATTTGCATTTCTAATTCAATCATCCTTGAGCTATTGTGTATAGATACGTCTGGAAGGCTCCTTAAACTATCACCGTACATAATAACTGAATCATTGGTTATTGAGCCCTCCAAGCATGCTACATCATTTTCGGAATTATAACGCCGCATGCGTCTGAATGTTATGTTGCTATAGCTTGTATTCATCTTAAATTTGCTTACTTTCCTACAATCTATTTATATTCCTATAATAAGGATTTGGTGCTACTGCTTTTCTGTTTCTTTAGGTTTATTCTTTGTAAGTTATTAAAGGCTGTCTTAAAGAAACATACAAAAAGAAGTCGAATTATATCGTGGATTTGATCCCACGTCTTTTTGGTTGTAACGCGTCGCACTCACCACTAGGCTAGCTGGCTTGTTTGATGAATGGTGAATTTAAGTATTATATTCCGGACTAAATTCATTTGAGGTACTAGAGACACTCGTTATTTGTTTTGTTTTGCGAGAAGTTATTAACATTCACCTTCATTTGCAAAAGAAAACAAAATCACTTTTCGTTCAGTTTTTGATCAAAATCTAGTATTGAAACAAAGTTTTTAGCCACTGCCACACCACTAAAGAGTCTCACCACTATTTATGCACGTAAATAATGACATTTTGAGATATTTAGTGCACTTTTTACACTGTTTTCATTTAATTTTTTGAGGACGACATAACAGATCGACCTTTCGCTTCGGGTCCTACCCTATCACTCAATTTTCACAAAATTCTATATAGATCATCTCGACCATGGAGATCCAAAAATCAATATTCAAAAACTGAAGGTAGCCGAGCTAAATATGACATTGAGACGTCAAACATCTCAGTCCCCCCCTCCCCCCTCATGGCCAGAAGTTAATTAAACGCGATAAAATCCGTATATATAGATTTATTCAATGTGTAGTGTTCGCGTAAATTTAAGAAATCATTAGATTACGTGTACAAATATATATATATATATATATATATATATATATATATATATATTTGTTTTATTTGTATACATTGTTTTATTTTTAATTAATTTCAAATAAAAATTGATCAATTTAATTATTATCAATAATGAATAAATCCCAAATTTATCGATCAACGTCCCAATCCTGTCCCATCACTATGGTTCGAAGCATTCTAAATTCAACCTTGAATTATCCAATCACAGCGCATTTGACACGTCCCCCGCAACTCATGCATGTCGCTGAATTCGGTGAAATCGAAACAGAACAAATGCGGATAGATGCGGTATCTATTAGGGGGTAATCTGTGCACGAACCCTAAGCTTGTAACAGTGTTATACCTATTCTGTGCCTACCCCAGTCAGTCACAGATTAATAATAGCACAGAGCGATAGAAAAGCTTACTCTTTGGGTGCGTTTGGCAGAAAAAAGCGCTAGCAAGCGCTTATAAGCGCTGAAATAGTTTTCGGCAAGGACACGATTGCTACTTCAGTAGCGCTGACACAATCCGCCATTTTGCTTATTTAATTTGTTTGTTTTGAAGTAGAGTTTATAAGTTGTTTTGCGCAATATTAGTTTTAAGTAATATAATGACATGAATAAACATATACATGTTATTAAAAAATCATGATTGGTAAGTTTTTAATATGAATACTTTACAAACATATATTTAAATTAGGTTAGGTTCCCCGGTTAAAACTAACATCGTGTCCTGGAGGAAAATAGCTACTTACGATTTGACAGCGCTTACCGCTTACGATCGCCATTTTGCTTACAAGCGCTTGCTAGCGCTTTTTTCTGCCAAACGCACCCTTTGTCTTTGTGTTTGCAATCAGCTCAGCCAATCACAATCACCAGTAAGGAATGTCAAATCTTTCTGAAAAAGATCGATTTTTGAATACATTAAAATCCAAATCTGATAAATCGATTCACAAAAAACGAGGTCTAGAAATCGATTTCTCAAAAATTGATTTTTTTATTGCTTTCAGATTCGTACAAAGCACAGATTACAAACGTAACTTATATTTTATTTCTTTAATCCATTAAGAAGAGGCGAAAGAAACTGAGCACTCAGCAGTTTTGCTAGTTTTTGAGTAGAAAAATTGTCATTCTTATGAAAACAGAAAAAGATTTGATCTCGATTTTCGAGGGCGAAATATCGATTCACTGGCTCGATTCAGTACTGTATATCAGCTTTAAAATCGATGTTATTGGCACAAGAAATCGATTTCAGATCAACATCGACATGCCTATCACCAATAACAATTAACAACTAACAAGTAACAACCAATAGTGACTCACGCGTTTGTTCACCTTAGTTCACCTCAGTTCACCTGTTCTGTTTCATAGAAATGTATTTATTTAATAATTATTGTGATTATATAAAGGTGAAAAAGTGCGCGTTAATGTTTAATTAAGTTCTTTGCTTTTGAAAGATCCTCCACTGTTTATAAGTGTGTTTTAGCATTATCCAAAACTGGATGAGTTTACGCAAAATATAATATCTGTTCTTATCATACTAGAGCTCTTTTCACTTTAGATTTTTGTCATAAAATAATGGCAGAAAAAGTGAGTACCACGTTAATTGTTTTATAATAAGTTACGATTTGTAACTTACTATTAATTTAAAAAAAAAGCTTATAAAAAATGTCACCTGTCCATTTGACAATGCGGGGTTTCATTTTCATTTGGCAGTTCTAATGATGAAATTTTAGTGTTTAAAGAAATAAGTAATTATTAACAAACGACACGTTTCTTTCAGTCTATATTCACTTACTATGAGTTGTATGTGGTCACATTATATTCTTGTTTTATCAATTGCTGTTAAATTGTTTTGTTTACAGACATCTAAAATTGTCTTCCATTAGTACATAAACTTTAAAAAAACAATCTTTTGCATAAGTAATGAGTGATTGAACTTTTATTGTATATAAGTTTAGATTAATTAACATTATTAATTAAAACCCCATATCCGTAGAAACAAAATATGAAATGGGCAACGGCTTCTTCCCAATAAGAACGAAACATTGACGACAGTCGCCAACCCGCATGGCAACTATGGCTAATACCCCCCCCCCCCATAAGTCACTCTATAAGGAGGGCTGTGTTAAATAATGGATTTTTATTAGGGATGGGCCGAATATGTATTTCACCAAATAACCAATTTATGTTAAAACTTGTTACCTCTGCCTCTCACTCCCCGCCATACTTGACAGTTATTGCATCATCTAGTACTGAGCAAATTGCCGGCAAGTACAACAGACAAGTAAAAGTTAAGACAAGTAAAAAAAAGTATTTCGTTGTTTAATTCTTAGTGAAAATTGATAATTATATGATAAAAATGAGTTGCAGAAGATTTACTATTTGGACTTATTTTAGAGAAACTGACGACCAAAGTAATAATAATACATTGGACACTATGAAAACGAATGTTCGGTGATTTAGCCGAATATTCGGTAAAGCTGCCGAATATGCCGAATACCAAATATAAAAGGAATATTTGGCCCATCTCTAATTTTTATATGCTGTAATGGTAATATTAATGGTGATATTACTATTAATTTTCAATAAGGCAATAATTTTAATTATTATTGCAGAAAACCCAAGATAATACATTACCGGAACAGCCAAAACCAGCAGAAACTATGCCAGAACAGTCAGAAGCAGCTGACAAAGAGAAAACTGTGTCAGCAAAAACTGCGCTAGATAAAGCAAATCCTGTGCCAGTCCCAGTGCCGGTGGTGACAACATCACCAAGACTCACAATACCCGCATTCACCAAGACTCCCCCTAATGAGCTGTACAGGCGATTATTACCAGCAGTTCTATTTTTGTTAACTTTTGTTACAGTCATGACTATTTTATTAATCTACATGGATACTGTTGGTAAGTTGTAGGTATTTTTACTTTTTGATTTAAGAAAATCTAAGTTTATTTTGTGTGGTCGAGCCATAATATTAATAAAGCTTTATTTCTCTACACATTTACAGAGTTACAAATATAATAAATAAATATAGATGGAACTACTGGAAAGTTGTTCTTGTTTTATGTAGTCCCTCTTGTGTAAAAGCCTCCTCCAATTTGAACCATTCTTCACTTTTTTGGCAATTTGCATCCATTCTTCTCCTGCTATGTTAATAATATCATCCACCCATCTTTTTCCTTGCCGACCTACACTTCTCTTGCCAATCTGTGGTAGCGCCATACTACACTATAATATAGTCGTAGTATGTATTAGCAAAGGGCATTATTTTCCAAAAAAAAAAAACAGTTTACTCAATTGGAAATTGTGCTATTGAGCATTTGATTGTGGAATTAGTAGTTCCTCATCATGATATGTATGTGGTATGTGTGCATGTGTGCGGTGAATTGCGGAACTTTAGTAATTGCTAGATTTCTAGCTAAAGTTGGTAATTTTATACTATCGCCGTCACCTCATCCAAATAATTCGATTTCGATGATTTTTTTAAATACATACATAAACACTCACGCCTGTCACCCAGAAGGGTAGGCAGAGACTACGGACTTCCATTGGTCCTTTTCGCCTCTTCTTCCTATATCTCGTCATAAACACACACAGCATATATGTTCGTCGGTTGAGAGTACTTCTAACGTGGCCCATTTTCAAAATATCGCCAATTTGGTCGATAAACTTTCTTCTAGGACGTCCTTTCCCCTTTTTTTAACCTTCCCATTTTTTTTTAATGAAATGTCGTTCATTTCCCATATTATGGTGAATTTAAGAAAAAAAAAATTAATCAAAAAAAAATTAAAACTTATATAGGTTTCAAGGCTTTAAACGTTCATGAAAATGCACTCATTCGCATATAATTATTGATAAAAAATAATAGTTATATTTTTTTCATAATCTACACAAATATAACATTTAAAAAAGTGTATGTTTATTTATTTTTTATTTTGGTTTTTATTGA